TCCTAGGTTTCAGTGTGCGCATTCTCTTCCTCTGAGAAGCATTATTCTCAAGGCTAGGGTCAGCCTCTCTCCTCCCAGAACCTACAGCATCCCAAATTCACTACAATTACTTTATAATGTTCTGCATCTGGTCTAGACACAACCCTGTGAAGGTGGAGATTACATCACATTCGCCATTTTTATACAGAGCTCCTAGTATAAACATGGTGCCCGGTACACAGAAAGCTCTCAGAACTCTGTTGTAGAAAGGAATGTATATTGTGTCCCCATCACATGCCAGACACGGGTATATGCTGTCCATATACAGGACTCAGCTCTTAGGAAGAAAGTAAGATACAGAAAGATGAAGTATCATGGCTGGAGTTAGCACAGCAGGGAAGTGGTCAAGCAGGGGTTTGAAAGTACGTTTGTCAAAGTCTACCGAAGTGTCACTCCCAAGCCTGGTACCGTGCCTCTGCATTGCAGACCAGGAGGAAACGAGGCAGGAACAAACCAACGGTGTTGAAACTGTCTTTCCCTAGGTCAGCTGACCTTTCCTGAGCTCTTTATGTGCAGGTACTGTGCTGGGCATCTGATACGCATTATCTCACTGGCTCCTCCCTTTGCTCCCATAAGGGAGACACAGCCATTATCCTCAGTGTACAGGTGAGAAAATAGAGACTCAGAGGTGAATCATCTTGCCCACAATCAAGTAAGCAGGAAGTAGGGGTGTCACATTCTAACTGCTCTACTTTACTGCCCCTGTGTATGGGTGGAGCTTCATTTACAAGCCACCTGAGCCTCCGTCTGGAACTGTCATTGCTGTCACCTTTCCCTTCTCCTTCCTGACCATCCCACCACCAAGGATAGAAAATACCTTCTGGATGCATCCCTCGTGTCACTCTGAGGTCTGTACACAAAGCATTGTTTGTGAGGCTTGGGGAGGAAGGTCTTCATTTATCAAACAGGAGAAGCACCATCGACCACACATGACCTGGCACCTGCTACCAGAGATGGCACAGAAGAGGGGCTGCATAAATGTCTCTTGAGCTAAATTGAGATCGCTTGAATGAAAGGACAGTCACTGTGGAATCTGGCCGTGTTTTGGGATTTCCTAGCTGCCAGCTAACACGATCATTCTCTCCAAGAAGAAACTAGGTCTATGCCAATACCCTTGGCTATTCTGCTAACATGCCACTACCCTCAGATTGCTTAAATGAGAGAGAGACTATAAACAGGCAGAAGGAGGCAGAAGAATGGCGATCAGGTATACACTTGTCACTTTGGGAGGAAGGCGAACTCTGTAAGGTGACTAGGTTACCATTTAATGGCATCCTGTAAGAGCATGAACCAGAATTAGGTAATTCCTCAAAATAACCTTTTTAAAAATAAGAATGCAAGTTTGTAATTTATATTTCTTTTTGTGCAACAAATTTGAGTGTCATAAAAATGGTTAAAAAGTCTTCCTATGGTAGCTTTTTCTAAACTTTTATGAACATCTGCCACATTCATTTGAAGTTTAAAAAATTCTGGCACATATGCAAAGGCATAATAAGGTGCCTATAGCTTTCAAGAAAAAATAACAAGACAGTCAAAAATAAGCGTTTTGCTGAATTGCCAGTAAGAAAACTAGTGTAGCAAGAGGAGATGGGCCTTCCTGAGCACCTTCCGTAAAGAGCTTTCCTCTGGCCCCAGATCTGAATTGGAGGTTCCTGCAGGAAACCGCAGGGGAAGCATCCCTTTCACCTGAAGGGTACAATGGAACTAGATAAACCCAATCAGAAAGTACAACTATGGCACTCGGAATCTGAGCTGAAACTCCAGGGAGGAGGTCAGGAGACTGAATTCTAAGATTCGGTAGTTCACGGCTGCCCTACACACCCAGGAAACACTTCTTTGTTCAGAAAGTGTCTTGGCTGGTTTCAAGAGCGGGGCAACTCCCATTTCTGTTTTTATTTTTGTGCTGACTACACAGGAGTTCAGCACAGCAAACTCCTTCCCAGCCTCTGTCAATCAGCAAGGCTAAGGTCTATCTTAGCTAGTGCCCCCTGAGCCTTCTCCCTTAACGCCCTTCAAAGGCTGAGCAGAAGAGACCTGTACCCATTCATGTAAGTGCAAAACTCTGTCTCAAGTTTCAACTGCAAAATGTATGCATATTTTACCATGTTTTACTACAAAAGGCCTTATTTTAAATTACTTACAATTATATAAAAAGTAAAAAATTCACTTCCCACACCTGTAAGTAAAATTATGGCACTGGGTTGCCTGAAAACAGTGATGCCTATTAGAGGGCTTCTAAATGTGCTCCAAATTACAGCTTTCCAAGCATTCACTCAACACTTCTTTTCACAAAGCATTTGCTCAGAGAATATCACCTGTGTGGCATCCTGTTAGGTGCTGAGGACACCACAGTGAATGATGCACAGTCCTTGTTCCCAAAGAAGTCATCCTCCAGGGGATGATGGAGAGGGACAAGGAAGCAAACAGCTATTATTCAGAGCAAGAGGCACCGTAAGTCAAAGAAGAAAACAGAGCAGGAGGACTTCTTGGAAGAGGCGGAGAAGGGCAGGGCTAATGCATGCAGAGGGATGGGAATGTGGATATGTTTAGGGATCAGCAAGAGCACGAGCTAACATGGGTCAGTGATCAGGCAGAAGGCTTGACAGCAGTAGAGAGACTATGCAGAACCCAGGGACTGTGTAGGGGAGGCTGGAAGGCTCCTCCCCAAGCATTATGTAGCCCATGGTTATCAAGTGACCGGGTGGAGGGCAACCCATGCAGTGTTGTGACTATGCACTGAACTTTATATTCATCTCCATACCTCCAGGACCTAGCAAAATGCTTGGAACATAAGAGGCCCTCATGTTGTTTATCAAATGAATAAGGCTTTTGCAAGAATCCAAGAAAGCAAAGCAAAGTGTCAATGAAGGCAGTGAGGAAAGAACAGGGTGAGAGACATTTGAGAGCTTTGTGAGTATTTAGAGAGGATGAGGAAGAAGAGCATTCAGCCATGATCAGTGTGTCCCACTTAGGTGCCGTTGAAGGCAGTAGTGCCATTCACAGGAACCTGGAACAGTGGAAGGGGAGCGGAGTGGCTTACAGAGAGAGAGAGAGAGAGAGAGAGAGAGAGAGAGACTGTGTGTGTGTGTGTGTGTGTGTGTGTGTGTGTGTAGATAATAAATTGTTTAGGGAAGACTGGGGGAGACATCTGTAGTACATCCAGGTGAAATCCAATTGGCACTTTAAACTTTGGACCTGAAGTTCAGAGAGAGGCAGACCAGCGTTAAAATCCCAGCTGAGTCATTGACATTGACCTGGTAGCTGAAGCAAAAGGCCTTGAACAAGGTGACTAGAGGGCACATAGAAAAGAAGAGAAAGACACAACTAGAAACTTGGAGAATGCTGAGGCGCTGGGACATAAAAAGGAGTCTGAAAAAGCCTGTGCTGGAGCAGTCTGGAAGGCAGGAGGAGAGGCAGGCGGGAGGGAACTGTGGACTCTGATAGACCAAATAGTCGTTATATTAGTGTTTCAAACTCTACAGCAATTGGCACTAACAGTCCATTGGAAAGTATTCACTTTGAATTTCAATTTTTCATACGGGAGCTTTGAATAGACCCCCAAACTTGACAAACAAAGGTAAAACACAGAAGAAATCTCTTCAATCTGATCTAAATACATCATCCCAGATAGTCCATAAACTGTGTACTGTATGTGCTTAGGGCTGGGTGATGACAAGGAGGAACTGTTAACAGAATGTAGGAGCCACATGGCCGGCCTGTCAAATTAGAAATTTGAGCAGATTTCTGTGGTCTATTTTGATCAAGATTCTCAATGTCAAACAAACAGGTTTTTCGATAACCAACTTCTTTCATTTTCGTAAGCACAATAGCACAGTGTGCAACAGTTAGTGAAGCAGGTGGTCCTCGTCGACGTGAAATGAAGGGAACAGAAGAAGAGAAGCAGCACTTCCTTCAAGACATGCAAAGCACCACCGCAGACGGACATGGCTGTAGATTTTCCCTCTGAGAGCTTATCTCCTGTGCAACACAGGCAAGCCCCCTCCCCACGCCTCATTTTGCTCTAGTACAAATTAAAACTCTCTCCTGAGGAGGAAAGGGCTTAGGGTACATGCCTACAAACTAATGACACTTACAAAAGCACAGAAAAGTCCTTTAAAAGAATTGCTATCTAATTGGTACAGCCATACAGAAAGCAATCTGGCATCCGATGCATAGCTTTGACCAAGCATTTCTACTTTAGGGGTTCTATGCTAAGGAAATGAGGCAAAATGCAGATAAAGCCTTATGCATAAAGATGTTCACTGAAATGCTATTTATAATAGTGAAAAATTATAAACAACCTCAGTGTCCAACAGTAGGAAAACGGTTACGTTGTGGTATATCCAAATAGTGGGAATGATAGGTGGCAAATTAAAAATTATTACTGAGAGTAGATAAAAACATGTAGAAATTCCCAAGCCATGTTAATTAAAGACATAAAATTACAAAGCATATCAATTATGCATATTTATACAAAACATATATTTAGACAATAAAGACTAAGAAGGAGATTAGTAAAATGCTAACAATGGTTCAATCTGGAATAATGGTATCGTGGATAATTTTAATTTCCTTCTTCATGATTCTATGTACATTTTATATCACATTTACTACAATGAAGAATGCAATATTGCTATAGCGATTAGAACAAACATTTTGAAAAGGAAATCATTTCCCTTCCCTCATTCAAACCCTTAAAGAACCCTTTCTTCCTGCCTCCTTGATTCTCTCTCCCTCAACCCGTGAAAATCCACAGTCTCTAGGCAAAGTGGGAAAACCCTGAAAACAGAGTCCAATGCAGAGCGTCCAAGCTGAACGCTCAGCTCTGTGCACCTGGGAGGTGCTGCTTCGGCACGCTCCCACATGCAGAGCTGTGACTGCTGAGACCGGGTCTCTCCACCACCACACAATGAAACAAAGCCCCAGGTAGAGCCATCTGGGGAGGAAAGAAGCCAACTTACCTCCATTAAACTTAAATGGATTCCTATGAGGTAGGGCATGGGAGCACTGTGAAGAGAAACAGAGACACACAGCTGCTTTAATGTCTGTTGCTTCTGACAGAAAATTACAGATGGTTCACTATTTGGAGAAAAACTGTTTTAATAAACGTATGCACAGTTACATTTCCTTTCACAACAAAAATCCTAATATGACATTTTGTTCCCAAGCCTTGAAACTTCAGAAGAATTTCAAAACGTGGGCAGCATTGGAAACAGCATGGGTATCAGGAAGAGCATCAACCTTGGTATTAGTCCCTAAAGAGCAGCTCTGCAACTGCACCGCCTCAGTTGCCTTATCTTTAAAATGGAATCCTGGATTCCAGCCAGCATGTTGTTATTAGAATCAAAGAAAATATACGTTAAATGATCAGCAGAGTTCTAATACAAATGGGAACGATTATTGCCATGATTACAACAGAAAAAGCAGTTAAGGTTGGATGAAGGGCATAATGTGTTTCAAAGAAGAATATTTTGTATTTTCTGCTTCCTCTGTCATCAAGAGATGTGATCTAACTGTCCATTCTGATTGGACAAAGTACGTGGAGAGCTGCCAGCAAGCATCTCCTCCCCAGTTGCACACATGCCATCCCATGACACTATAATTCAGAAAGCCTCTGCCAACTGCTTCATTCACGGAGCCACGGGTTCCCTAAGTCAGTGACTGAGCAAAGGCATGAGAACTCCACTCTAGTGGGTTTAAAACCTGGGCATTTTGGATACACCGATCCTGCCTTTGGTTTCAGGGGTTGGTGTGTACGTGTGTGTGTGTATACATTATCATTTATGTTACCTACCAATAACAAATGTGCTAGACATTATATGAGGAAGTTTAAATTCATCTATTCTAATCCACACAACAACTTTGCAATACCCATAGATACAACACCCATTTTACAGAGAAGGGACTAGGCCTAAAGAGGTTAAATCACTTACCTAACACCACAAAACAAAGTCAGTGGTAGACTTGGGATCTGACTCCCAAATATGCATTTCTTCCTTTGTACCACACTGATTTTGTAATACAGAACCTGACATCCCCAAGCTCACTTCCCGTGCAATGCTTTCCTTTGGGTCAGGGGAGTGAGGAAGGGTGTGATTGGCAACTTTTCCATCTATCTCTCTAGTATGGGATGTATTCTATGAAATGTGCAGATGGTATTTTGTGAACCTAGAGAAAAGATACCTGACTCAGACTGGGGTGACCAGGTACTTTTCTTCTGGGGCAACTGGTAGAGTAGAGGTGGATGATCAAGGATGGCTCTTTGGGGACAAAGTTGGAGAAACAAGGATTGGTAAGTAATGAGACAGAAGAGGTTTGCTTCCAACTGAATACTATGGAGTTTAGGCTTTAACCTGAAAGCAATGGATAGGCAAGGGAGGTTTCTAAACATCACATGTATATTGTTAAATTGCTCAAACATTTAAAAATAAGAAAGGGCACGATTCCCTCATTACCATTCAACAAATAAAATTCAAGCAAAAATCCTTTCTTTCCCTCTTTCCCCAGAATATAAAATGTCCTCCTTACTACAGATCTCAGCAGTAATATAATATGTCTTGGGAACATGTAAAACAGACTTGAATATTAGCAGCTCAGTTTGCTAACTATTCTAGAAGACTTTTGTATTTGATAATAGCTAAAGAAAGAACTATATACACAACTGCAGTGAAAGTGGAGTTGTCTTTTCTTCTTCTCTTTTTTTTTTTTCTTTTTTAAGGTATCTGCTGTGTGCATTCAGCTTCTCTTTGCTTCTAGGGGCAAGGAAATGCCCTGTGACATTTTTTTTTCCCCTAAACTGTAAACCATTAGTTTAGCTGCCAGCTACACAAATGCTCAAACTTCCCAGTGTGCCTGGCTCTGCTGTCCAAGCTTTTTCCAGTGTACACTGAAATGAATGTGTTTCTAATTAAGTAGCTTCAGGAACACGACAGCTTCAATGTCAAAAATACAAAGTCTGAACCCTGGCAGGAAGTCTTAAGACTGCAAATGTCTCATCTAGTGGAACCTTGCCTAATGTAATGAAAGGAAGCAGGAAGAGTACAAATTCCAGAAAAATGGCCACTTATTAATGTGACCAGAAGCACAGCCTAACACATAGAAGGGAGAAAGTGCAAATCCATAATATTTAACTAAATCTTATCACCTTTCCCATCTCCTACATTTAATCATGCAATTGACCAGTGACCATGAGTTTTAACCAGAATTGTAGAACTGAAATTCCAACAAACGAATTAATATACAGAAAAAGACATTCAAATGGCTGAAAATAAACATGTATACCAAAAGCCCTCTGTATAACTTAACCACAGGATCTTATGTATGTAGACTTTAATGCTATGCCCTTTTGTCCTACAATAAAAATAAATCATACCCTGAAAGGAAAAAGGGACCTCATGGAAAAGACTGAAGATGCAAGAAAGGGCAAAATGCAACTCATTCTTCAAGTTCCAGATAGGCATTTTTAAAAGCCCAATAATTTTCCAAAGAGTAATTATGGCCTATCGTACAAATGTAGTTTTCTTAGCCAAGTATTGTTAGAACTGCAACAGCTCTGTATTTAGAAAATATTTAAAACACATTTATTCTGAAATCATAGCAGCTCCATGTTTTGTATGAATGCAAATTTGGACAAATACCTTTTACACTGTCATCATTTACGTACAAAGCCTCAGATATTTCCCTGAATCTACTGCATGTTTGCTCTGCAAATAGATAATTACGAATTCCAAGTGGTGAGAGAGAGAGGGAAGAAAAAGAAACCCAGAATTTCCTGAACATCTCAATGTGGTACTTATCCAATTGGGTAATTCTAGGTACAGTCTGAAAACAATTTCTATTCTCAATAATTATTGTAGCTACTGACTCAGTTTCTTGGAAACCTCTTCTTTGTCTTTTTATTTTTAAAAGAAATGTTTGGGGAGAAAAACACCTACCCATAATTATATTATCCTAACACAATTACTTTTTCTTTTGCATTCCTTTCTAATACTGGCTCACACTAAACAGGTTTATATCTTCGAAATCATAAAAGGCATACATTGTATTATTTTCTCATTGGCAACATGAACATTTCCCAGATTGTTCTATAATTTTGTGATTATTAAAGACTGCATAATATTCCACCAAATATGGATGTACCATAATTTATTGAATGCTACCCCTAGAGTAGACATTAAGTTGCTTCTAACTTTTCACTATCGTAAGTATCACTGTGATAAAAATGAACACCTTCATGTTGCATGAATTCCTAGACACCAAATTACTAAAAATTAAAGGACAGGGCTGTTTCTTATCGTTTGTTATATCCTAGCAGAGCGTTTTCCAAAAAGGCAGTACCTGGCCTACTGGAAATCTTTCAGGACTGTTGCAGAGATTAGAGACAACCTCCGAGGTACCTGGCACAGGTGCAGCACATGGTAGGGTTCTCTCTGAGCCCCTGGCATGGCTGGCACCATTGGACCCACTCTCTTACTACCCACAGAATGGTTTCTTGTTCCAGCCCTGGTTCTGTAGGACACCCACTCCAGGATACCCGGTAAACTGCTGGTAAGAATGGTCAAGATGCCATGAGGAATGGGAGGTGCTTGACAGGCACACGTCATCTCTACACGTGGATTTCTGACTCCCAAGCACACTCCTGTCTCCTGGATACTCCACTGAGTTCAGGAGGGTTGCTTCTCACTTTCTTCAGGAGGGTGCCTTTCCTTTCTAATGTACCACCAATAATGGAAAAACTATCAAGGAAACAATGGTTCATGACTTTCTGATCACTTGACACATTTTTAAAAACCTCTTATCACTCTTGAGCATACATTAAAAATAAAACATAGCAAAATAAACTGGGTAAGCTATTTTTTTTTCTTTTTTTTTGAGACAGAGTCTTGTTCTGTCACCCAGGCTGGAGTGCAGTGGCGCGATCTCGGCTCACTGCAAGCTCCACCTCCCGGGTTTATGCCATTCTCCTGCCTCAGCCTCCCGAGTAGCTGGGACTACAGGTGCCTGCCACCACGCCCGGCTAATTTTTTGTATTTTTAGTAGAGATGGGGTTTCACTGTGTTAGTCAGGATGGTCTTGATCTCCTGACCTCATGATCTGCCCACCCCAGCCTCCCAAAGTGCTGGGATTACAGGCGTGAGCCACTGTGCCCAGCCTTAAGTTATTTTTTTAAAAAACTTCTTCATGTTCAGAATCCAACTCATCTGAATCCTTTTCTGATCCAGAGGCATCAACGTCCATGTCTTTCCAAGGGTATCTCAGTTACAAAACCAAACCAAAATCCATCTAGAAGTGATCTTCCTGTTTAGGTCCAAGAAAGAACTTATTTGTTGCTGTTCTAGAAAATTTGAATGGAAATATCTGCTTCAGTAATAGCAAATGTATATACTCTGCTTCTCTGCTCCGGCGCCCTTCAGCACTCACAGTGACTTTACCTTTCAGTGTTGAATCCTAGTGCAATTGTGAAGACATTTTAAACGGCAATTAAACAACATGTGTAGAACCAACAATGCACATAATTAAATTAAAGTGGTGATAATATTAATAGTTATAACCAAACTTATGCATAGGCGGGTCATGACAACCATGTCACAACTGCCGTATGGCTGACAGTGATTGTAAGGATGCTACTGTACATCTTGGAATAGCAGAACGGGGTGTATCTGTATGAAGCTTTTGTTCTCTGGGAATTGCTGCACTATCTGATTTCATCAGTTTCATCAGTTACGGGAGAGTAAAAGTGACTCTCTTTTCCTTCTACCCTGAAAAGGAAAAGGGCTCTGTTGCTGGTGTTGAGGCAGACACAATAGAATAACCTTTACCTGGAAGATATCTTTAGTTTGAATCCTCTTAAGAGGAAAAGGAACTTTTATTGAGCTACTATAATTCAGTCACTTTTATGCATTACAGACATAATGCTCAAGGGAACTCTGCAAAGTGGTGCTGTCATCCATATTTTCAGGTTAGGAAACAGGCTTAGAAAGACAAAAGTAATTTGCCAAGATCGCACA